CTATATGTACTTGTCCCCTTGCCTTGAACTCGTTCTCCTTCATTTCTCCTTGAGAATTTAATTTCCTTCCTCACCTAATCCCTGCATCCTATTCCTATTACTCTCACGTTAAGCTTTTCTACCCCCTAGCAGTTTCAGTCTCACCATTATCCCCTGCCTCCATACTTACTGTTTCCCTCCCCTCAGGCAGGTCCTTGTCCCCTCACCATTCATATCAGACACACTCAGGCACCTGTGAAGAGGAGAAAACAGCAGCTTTTTGGGAGCACAGCGGATGGTCTGCACAGCCTCACTCTCAGTCCAGAGACCCACCACAGTCCACAGTGGCAAACAGAGGTCTATTTTTGGCCCTGCAGCCCGCAACTAGGGTAGACTTGACTGCAGTAGTAGCAAGGATGGTGGCGACACATGCTAAGTCAGGAATGTGGAAAATTCATTTCTTCAGAAGCTTATAAATTGTGCTAAGTGTAGTCAGAACATCAGACACACCCCTCCCAATTCAGTTTTTCACGACGAATTCCAAGTCTGCTCTAGAGCATTTAAGCACTGCAAAGAGAACTTCTCCACAATATCTTATCGTAGACAAAGCCCTTTTCTTCCTGCCTTTCTTCTTAAATCATGTTTGGTAGCTGTAAAGTCATCCTAAACTTCCATCCTTGGTATGGAAAATTTCACGCCAGGCCATGGATGTTTAGCAAGTGGCATACTACCCAAAGCATAGTTTAGCTAGCAAAATTTAGCAAGTGGTATGCTACGTTTAGCTGTAGTTAAAGCTTAACAAACTCATTTAAAGGAAAACAACTGACAACTCTATTGTAGGCATTGTTATATATTTCAAGTATAGCACATTACTAAATACAAAATAGTATTTAAGCTAGTAGTAAGAGCACATATGTATAAAGGAAAATGATTATCAGTTAAGCTTTTCATTTTTACCTTTCTTTTTATCCACTGCAATTACACAATACATTTTCCTCAGTTGAGAAATCCCAGAAGAGTGGATGATTTTGTAATCCAGAGCTGCTTCCAGTAGCATAACAACAGTTGCATAACTGTGGTGAAATAAAAACACGGGTTTACTCTAACTTCCCTTCCACTGACAAGCCTACATAGTCATTAATGCTCTTTTAGCAAGTATTTTCTTTTATTCCAGGGATTAGTTTACTGAACCGTAATGACTGGCAACCTTGGTACATGCAGACACATCTCCCTGGAAGTGCTGTCTCTTGCCTGGCTAGGAGACCTTCCACAACCTGCTCCAGCAGAACATGTACATTATCTTAAGAAACAGCAAAATGTCTCTTCCCCATCCTTCTTCAAGCTGCATTTCTAATGAACTTAAGCCAGAGCTCTCAAGTGTTTACTTATTACTTATAGCAGGGACCAACCTACAGATGGTGCTCAGAGGATTTATTGTGCCAGGCCAGTAAGATCCCACTGTTATTGCCTTTCTGCAGCAATAACTCCAAGCTTTATCTTTGCATTGCTGTGATGTTAAGGGCACACTTCTCATATTAAGCTGAATAAAGAGTGTCACTATATATTAACCTTACTGCACAGAACATAATTGAACTCAATGGGGCTACTGCCCTCTGTGTTTCAGCAGGACTTGACTTTGAAGAAATAATAATTCACTGGTTTACAAAGGCAGAAATAAACTTTATTATACAGGAAGTGCTGGCGCAATACTGTGATTATAGGCACTGGCATGATTCACCTTGGGATTTTAGTTATACCTTGCCAAAAGAAGCTATTATCAAGCCCCAAATGACTCTAACAACACTACTATCAATGTGGCATTTAGAAGTTCATTCCCTAGTGGGAACAAAACCATCTCTTTTCTTCCAGTGTTGAAAATTAAATGCACAGTATTACTACCATCAATGAGGTGTTTAACTTCAAAATTGCCTTTCCTGGTGAGAATGAAAATGCTAGTTGCTTCCTTTTTTAAAATTAACAGCAGTGTTTTTCTCTCCTTTCTACCACACATACTTGTTTAATCAACCTGAGACACAGTATGTCTCTAGTGCTCAGAGACCATTGCAGGTATACACCTATGTTTGGCTGTGCGTGCATGTGTATGACATCCCATGCTCCGGGGCTGGGATCTAGCCTGTTGCCAGTATGATTCAAGCACACAATAACAAAGTAGGAAAATATGTCTGGAAAAAACACATAGTGAAGACAAAAGGCTTAATTTTGGTTTAAGTCATCTTTGTACCAACAACAAGGCTATGTTGATGCAGAAGGAGCATTAGAGAAAATTAACCCAAAATTAACAGCATACGGTGCCAGAAAGGTACCACACCATAGAAGTTGCTCACTACAGCCAAAAACTGTTGTGAACCATTCCAGAAGCATGCAGGACTGTCCTCTGACCTTTCTCCAGCTGTCACCTATGTTTGTGTTCACATATATGGTCAGTGGGCAAAGAGGTGAAATGGCTCTCAGTCCATTTCTCCTCTAAAATTGGGCAAGAAAAAGTTGTTCTAATCAGTCTTTGAGCTACTCTAGGACCAGATAATGTATTACGCTCTGTAGCTGTGCTGTCTCCAACATTCCCTAGAACAATGCTTTTGGAGGAGCCCGGGACTCATAGGTAAGTCCATATAATCTTATGCAAATGGGGTGACCAAAAGCAGACACAAAACTCTGAGATACGGAGGCCTACCTCTGATGTTTGGCATCAGGAGCTGTCATTCACCCAGCAACACCAGAATATGACTTCTGGGGATCCTCTGAGTGTACAGGATGCCCCTATCACCCTCTGGAGTCTAACCATCCCCAGCTCCTACTCTTAACTGGTATCTGAGCAGCTCAACATGGACTAGTCCCTAGTCACTTCACTTGGCGGCTCAGATGGTTGTGGAGGAGGACAGGGCATTCAAGGCTGTGTTGTTTGCTCTGTTACCCTTGCAAGAGTACAGGCAGTCCTGCTACAGCTACTCAGGCCTGGTTGAATTCCCGCTGTCCCTGAGGGGCAGATCTCAAGCCTGGGCCAAGTCCCAACTGGCTTTGTTAGAAAGCAAAACTGGCTCATTGAAGAGTGTGAACAAACAGGCTGGCAGCACGGATGATCTCAACTCGAGTGCAAACTCAAACCTATGTTTGCCAGGGATTCCATTCACCCTTCCCTTCTAGGGTCTGTATTGACCATGAAGTCAAGAATCATGGTATCACAAACTCAGAGGTCTAGGAGAATGGCCCACTTAATTTCTAAGTGGAAATCCTAGTGTGACAGATCATGCCCCTCGTGTATTTGAGCCTACATTACCAGATAACCACATGCAGGACTGATACAACTAATGCCTGGAAACAGATGGGTAACACTACACTGGTGGTGACCACAGTGCTGTTTCTAAACCTTCTGACATTGTTTCTAAACAAACCCATTGCTCCAAGACACCCACACCAGAGAGTATACAAACTTTCTGCCCTTTTCTTCCCCTACATGCAAATACAAAACAATGGTGAGTCTGCCAGGTCCCATCCCACTCATTACTGTTCGCTTGCTCTCTGTCACTGAATTATTCCTGCTGATGCACAAGCTAACATCGTATGGGCTAACCAAGTGAAGGAAAAGTACTTCCACTCTAACAATGGATGCAGAGCAAAAGTGCATTAGACTGTTTTTTTCTGGCTTAGTTTCCTTAATCACTTGGTTTTGCACCATAGAAGTACTACAAGATAAACCACTACCTAACAATTTCCATGAAATAAGACACTGAAGTCACTTAAGGAGAAACACTCCCTCCTCAAATGCAATCTACCTTGTAGTCCACTTCATGATGACACATAGGTGTTAAAAATTGAAAACTTAAGCAAACACAGACTTCTAATTCAGGAGGGGAAATCAATACAGCTCTCCTGGGACAGTCCCTTTGGAATTCAAACCTCTCTCCTCTGTCGCACAAATTCAGCAAGCACCATCTTGGCAGACCGAACCTTGTGGTATTTTCACAGCATGCTTATCACTTTTTCACACAGAATTCTCCAACTGGTTTTGAATCGAATTCAGGGGTAAACTTTTGCAACATGAAGACAGCCTACAGAGTGGTGTGAGTAATTACCTGAACCCTTTGTAGCCAGCAGCCCTCATACTTAGGACCCCTCATTCCATGTTTCCTCCAAAACGCTACAACAACCCATTTCCTTGCCACTACCTCCCCATCACACACCCAGGAGGTAAAAACATGAACTGATCCCATGAACTCTGACCTCAGCAAAGCCGGAACAGATCTGTAAGCAGAACTTTTGTTCACACTTTCACCAGGCAGAATACAAAGTGAGTAATCGTGCCCGTACCATCTCTTTTCCCCCGGGACCCCAAAAAATCTGAGAGAAGGAAACAGGCAGTCTGTCACAGGCTCGAGGGCTGAGGATGGCACGCGAGCACCCCTCCAGAAGCTGACACCCCTGTGAGCATCAGCCTGAACGCAACAGTTCGCGTGCGGCGTCCACACGCGCACTGCGAAAAATCTGAGACTTCAAGCTGCAGTACCAAGGAAAAAAAAAAATAAAAAGAGGAAAAAAAGCTAAACCCAACCCAGTCCGTGGGCCGCTATAATGGAGTGCGCTCAAACGGGCACGGGAAGCGAGGGGTCTAAGGAGCGACGTGCTCGCCGTGACCCCACCGCCAGCGTCCCGCCGCGCCGTGAGGTACCG